TGGAAATATGTTAAATGTGTTGTGTCAAATAAGAGCAATAATATTCTTTACCCTTAGTAGAGATGCTATAAATAATATTGTTTAATCTATAGTTTGAATAGTTCTAAAGACCGGGTAGGAAGGGAAAATACTTACTCTCACTCTAGGGTTCCCTCTTCTCCCTTTACCTGAGGGCTAACATCTCGTATCAAAATCTAAAATTATAAATCAAATTGGGGATTTTAACCTGTCACTCTAAAGTCCTCTAATTCTACACCCTTAAAAAGTTTATTTCCCTATTTATTTGCACCCAACCCAATGAACTATATTCTCATTCATGACATCAATATGTGATTCCAACCATTTTTTGACTGAGACAATACAATCTTAGATCTTACATAACAGGTATTAACATCTTAATTGGCTAAATCAAGAAGTAAATGAAGTGCAAGATTTTGAACCATCACAACTTCTTCCAACATTGAAGTCTAATAAGTCTAATACTTCACACTTTGAAGTCTAATACTTCACACTACTTCCTTTAAATATTTAATCACTTATCATTTTAAGAAAAAAATATAAAGAAAACTACTCAAAATTCATGAAGAAAACATAACCACACATGATTTTAAAAGTAGAAATCATGCACACAAATAAGAAATCTAAATTAAAATCAAATGTAAACACAAAGATAAACACTCATCTCAAATTCTCTCCACCAAATATCTTGAAGTTCCTTTGAATTCTCCCCCTTCTCTCACAATACAAACTAACACTCAAACTAAAATAAAATAAAATAAAGGTGGTCAGCGGCGGTGGCGGCGCTGTGATGGGCTGCGGCGACAATGGACTGTGATGTTTGATGGATGGTTGGCCTCTTATCTTGGAAAATCTAAGTCTTTTTCTTATATAAATCCAAGGGGTTCATTGGTGTCTCTTCAAAAAGGTGTCTCAATTCAATGAATCTCCTAGAAGTTGCCTCCTCATAAGTCAAGTTGCATTCAATGAATCTCCTAGAAGTTGCCTCCTCATAAGTCAATTGAATGAATTTTCGTGTCCATGGGCTATTTCCCATGTTTTTATCAAGGGTTGCTTGGAACACATCTTCAAAAATCCGCTCAATTTAAATAATTTATCAAGTAACTACTTCTGGCGCTTAAGCGCGGGGTACCTGCGCTTAGACGCCAAGCCTCTAGCGATTAAGCATAAGACTGGGTGCTTAGGTGCCCCAGTTCATTTTTATATTTTTCTTCATTTTGTTTCAAATTTAACTTTTTCACTCCTTTTAGCATTTTACATCCATTTGATTGTACCTGCAAAAAATACACATAAATATCTTTCAGGTATAAAAATGTGTATAAAAATGTGTATAAAAACATTATATATTTTAGGTGTATCAACAAACAACCTCACAATCCCGAGACTAAGGGAAATCTTCATCAAAGAAAGTGAAATATCAAAACTTAGTCTAACAAATTAGATATTTTAATATGACAGATTAAAACCTCCAATTTGGTCTAGTTGCTTGGAAACTAAAGCGAGATCGTTAGCCCTCAGGTGACGGAGAAGTGAGAGCTCTGGAGTGAGAGCCAATATCCTCTCAACCTAAATCCTCTCAACCTAACCACAGATAACCTAACCACAGATTTTGGGACCAAATTTTGGATTAGTCAATGTTCTTTATGCACTCAAAGGGTAAAGAATATCATTGCTACTATTTGACACAATACAATTTTATATGTGTATTTTAAAATAATTTTAATTTCTTCAGATTCCATAAATTCATTATAAAGGGGAAGGATGCTTTCTTAAACTTGAACTCTTCATTTCAAAATATTTTTTAGTCTTTATAAGTTTACTTTTGAAGTTTAGCAATTAGTTTAGTTAACTTAGTTCTTTCATCTGCATTTCCTTTAGCTCACATTAAATTTACTTTAATTTATTTTTCCTACTTAAGTTTTATAGTTTGAATATTGTGTTTGACACTATAACCATAAGAATTTTCAACTCCCTGTGGGATCGATACTTAGGACTCCATTAGAGCCATTTATTACTTGAACGATATGTATACTTGCGTCATTATTTTGGGTTTGGGAGCTTAGAGATTTTAAAAGATAAAATTATTTAAACTGAATTTATTTTTTTTTGGAATTGAACTGCATATTTACTATTAGTGCTAGCCGAACACCGCTGCATCATTTAGTAACAAGTGATATGCTCATCCCTCAATGTATTACCTTTTGCATTGTGCTCAACTATCTAAACTACTAGACATATGATATATGTTCGGTCTCATCTTTCAAAATTAAAGCGCTACCTTCAAAACTAAAATTATATATAAATATTAAACTAAATTGAAACATATTTTAATTAAAAATTGACCAATAATTCTCGAGATTTTTCTTACACTTGCCCCGAAAAATCATGCAAATTATTTTTTTTCGTGCACTGAAGACATCATACGCAGTGATTAGTAATTCAACACATTGAATGAGGTCATTGAAATAATGGATCATCTCCTGCATCGATAATGAGTAAAAATGTTTTGGGAGGAGCCCTCCAAGGAAGACTCCCCTCAGTAATTCAAGATCTACCCTTAAAATCTAACTCGCTTCGATGGAAAATATATGGAAGTATTATTTAAGAGATTTTCCCTCTTTCGGACAAAATTCTTAAGGATGGGATAAATCTCTGATGATATATTTATTTGTTATGAATTGCTCCACAAGTAGTCTAGTAAGTGTTTGGATAGAGCCTCATGGAAGAGAGTAGAACCAAGAATGGGTTTGACCTTTGAGAATGGTGGAAAACACTTAACAAAGAAGTACATAATAAGCACCCTGGATGTTCATAATTGTCTGATAATGGTCAATGTATTTGTAAGGATCAGTTATCCCTTCAAATGTGTTAATGTCTGAGAGCTTAAAGCACATAAGAATGGGGTGTTGGAGGACTTCCTAAGCCAAGGGTGAAGACCATTGAAAATTATGTCAAGCAGGGAAGCAATCCTTATCTCCCTAAAAGAACTCTTATCAAACTAGTTATTGTAGTTCATCACGAATTAAGACATCTGGAGAGAATAAAATGTGACGGGACCAAGTTTTGCGTGAGCATTACATCCTAGTTGCGTGGGAAGGGTGAGTGAAACTCATAATATCGATGTCGAAATCCTTGATTAGTAGAGGAAAGGTTCCAAGTGAGGAGGGTGCTAGGTATGAGTATGTTCAAGCAGGTATTTACCATTTGCTATTTAGCTTGTGGTAAGTAAACTACATATGGTTGTGCAGGCATCAGTTGTTGGGTCTTAAATATGAGTTGAAGAATATTGTGATGAGACTCCTTTGTTCTACGCACTCGAGCCACTTGAGAGGCACCCGAGTTACCCTTTCCTGTAGGAAAACTTTTCCAAGGGTGGGAAAAGACAAAAGTTTGACGTCCTTGGCTCCGTGACTCTCCCCAAGGATGAAGGTGTTGAAGTTGTAGGCTCTATTATTGCAAGTTTTGCATCAGGTGGTCATTTAATAAATTTCGTAAGTCCTTCAGTGTTTCACAAATTGCACTAAATAAATATGTGTTGAAAGATTTGCAACGATAAATTGATTGTTTAGCATCTCAGTGTTTCTCGAAAACTAAAAAAATTAAAAAAATTAAAAGATTTTATGTGGAAAACTAAAAGAATTAAAAGATCATGGGGCTGGACCAAGTCAAATCGATCCATTATAAATTAGCGATTACATGTCTAGGACCTTATCCTACGAGTACCAAAGAGTTAAAAATGTTCATCGAATTATAATGTTGAAACATCAAAAACTTCATTACACAGAGGTCAGAAGTGGTTGCAAATGCGAGTAGTTGCAGAAGTGTCGATATACCGACTTCGAAGCGTGTCGCAACACGATGTTCACAGTAATGCACTACTCCATAGGATCCCTCTTTACTCCATGATGTCGGTCTTTACTCCGCACAATGCTTCGTTACTCCGCGATCTATACTTTGCAAAGTGCTTCATTGCTAAGCGCAAGGGTGACCGACAGTGGTCGACGGTGGCCAACAAGCGATGGCCAACAAGCGATGGCCAAGGTTGGTCGACAACTGCAACAATGGGATAAATTTGTCTGGTTTTCGGTCTGGAATGACATTGTGTCTTCAGTCTGAAACAACATCAAAATTCAGCTCCTTCATGCACAAGATTGAAGTCTAGTTTCTCCGCCAGTTCAAACTCAAGGCCCCTTTTCATGAGTAGGTTAAGACTTTATTTATAGCATGAGAGAAACCTCGCTGCAATTAACAAATAAATCCAAACCAGTCCATCAGACATCTCAGAGGTTCCTCAATCGCGCAGCATTTGGCGAACATTTAAGTTTCTTAAAATGCCATAATTCAGTGACCGTAGGCTCGTTGGGCTCGTCTCATCAAGACACTCAATTCGACTATAAACTTGTCAGATTTAGAATCCATATGACATTTCAATTATCTACCCAAAGCTTATAAAAGTATTTTAATAACTCGATTTGATTTGACCCAAATTAGACTAGTTTTGATATAATTGTGTTTATCTTGACAATCCAACGAGTTTAATTATAAATTTGTTGAAATCAGAGTTCTAGATGATTTTTAATTGAAATTAATTTTTTTAAAATTATTTCGAGATTCATGTTAATTATTTCTGAGTTTTGTGTCTAATGAAAAATTTTATCAATAATAATAATAATAATAATAATAATAATAATAATAATAATAATATTTTGCATTCCAAAGAGTTGCTCGTAAAAATGTTGATCATAGAAATATGCTAGAATTGCAAAAACTATTAATTCACGGGATATTCTTTATAAAATGCTTAGCAGTACAAATATAAAAGAAAAAAATATAAATTTCACATCACAAAATCCGGTAAAATTTTAATCAGGAAAAAATTTATATTTATTAATATTTCAAGTTAAATTTAATTTAAAGTTTATATTAAATTCAACTTTTTGGAGATAAAAATTATTCATCAGCCGCTATAAATCAACTTTAAATTCAAGTTTCCACCGCGCCCCTCCATGCAACAAGATCTCATCCTGCTGCTCCGCTCACTGCTCCAAAACGCACTCAATCCACTCCTCTACTCCTCCATTTTCCGCATCCTCACCCGCACTCCAAATTCCCTCCACCATGGTCGGCAGCTGCACGCTCTCCTCATTCTACATGGCGTCTGCATCAACCCCACCCTTGCAGCCCGCATTGCCGCCATGTACTCCAGCTCTGGCGACCTCCGCTCTGCTTCCCTTCTCCTCCACTACCATCCTTGTCCATCTTCTCTCCTCTTTAACTCTCTTATTCGTGGTTACTCTCTTCGTAACCTCCACATTAAAGTCCTCTCCCTCTTCTATTCCATGCTCGCCCGCAGCGTCATCCCCGACCATTTCACTTTTCCCTTCGTCCTCAGGGCATGCGCCGATCTCCCATCTCTCCTCACTGGTTGCGCGGTCCATTCCCTTTGCCTCCGACGAGGCCTTGAATTGGACGTATATGTCGGAAGCTCGCTTATCAATATGTACGCCAAGTGCGGTGAGGTCAGGTTTGCACACCACCTATTTGAGGTAATGCACGTTACAGATGTCTCGTCTTGGAACGCCCTCATTGCAGGATACATGATGGTGGGAGCAGTAAAGGTTGCAGAGCACATGTTTGATGACATGCCGAAGAGAAATGTTATCTCCTGGACGGCAATGATTTCTGGTTACACGCAGAACGGTGTTGCAGGTCGTGCGTTGCAGTTGTTTGAACAAATGAGAAAGAATTGTAAAGAGGTGAAACCTAACTGGGTGACGATTGTTAGTGTCCTGCCTGCTTGCGCTCATTCTGCTGCTCTTGATCAAGGTAGGAGGATTCATGATTATGCAAGAATATTGGGCTTTGATTCGCATCCTACCGTGCAGATTGCAATTATGGGAATGTATGCTAAGTGTGGAAGCTTGGTTGAAGCTCGTCAGTGTTTTGATTGTTTACCAGGAAAAAATAAGACTGTGGTTGCTTGGAACACCATGATCACTGCTTACGCTTCTCATGGACTTGGAGCAGAAGCTATATCTGCATTTGATGATATGGTTAGTTCAGGGGTTCAGCCTGATGCAGTTTCATTCACTGGTTTGCTCTCTGGGTGCAGCCACTCAGGATTGGTTGATCGTGGACTGGAGTTTTTTGATGACATGAGTGTGGTTTATTCCATCAAACCAAAACATGAGCACTATGCTTGCATCGTTGATCTTCTCAGTCGAGCAGGAAAGTTTGAAAAGGCCCTGGAGATTGTTAATCAGATGAAGATTGATACGGGTCCTAGCATTTGGGGTGCGCTGCTCTCGGCGAGTCGCACTCACCGAAACCTGGACGTTGCAGAGATTGCAGCCAAGAGATTGTTTGTGCTAGAACCGAATAACTCAGGGAATTATGTATTGCTTTCAAACATGTATGCGGAAGCTGGGAAATGGGATGAGGTGAAGAAATTGAGAGCCATTTTAAGAGAAAAAGGAATGAAGAAGATTCCTGGATGCAGCTGGTGTGAGATAGATGGGCAAGCTCATGCGTTCTTTACAGGGGATAAGTGTCATCCACAAGCAACGGAAATTTATAAATTGCTGGAAGATCTTCCTGTGAGGATGAAGGCTGCAGGATACAGTCCTGAAACTGGTTTTGTTCTTCATGATGTGAGTGAGGAGGACAAGGAGTGTAATTTAGCGGGACATAGTGAGAAACTGGCGATTGCTTTTGGGATTCTCAACACAAACCCTGGTGCAACTCTTAGAATTACTAAGAATCTCAGGATATGTGGAGACTGTCACACTGCAGCTAAGTTCATTTCGAAGATTCATAACAGAGAAATTATAGTAAGAGATATTAACAGGTTCCATCATTTCAAAGATGGTATATGCACTTGTGGAGACTATTGGTAGCACGTGAACAATGAAGCAGATGGCTGAACTCAGCTCAACTGAAAATCCTTTGGAGGTGTTATCTTTATTCATTATGTGAATTCATCGTTTCTTATCTTTAATTCATCAGAGGAAACGATAACAGTATACCTGATTTAATGCTTTTACAATTGCTTAGTAAATAATGTTTACTTATCTAATTTTCGACATGGAAATAATTTAGCTGACCGCCTGGGAGCTTAATTGCTGAGCAGCTATATGGTGATGTTGGTTTTGTTGACTTTTTTGCAAAGCTAGCTCTTTATTTCTTGTTTAAAATGAGTCATAGTGTTGTGACTTTGAATCAAAGAGACTCGAAGTTATAAAAGTATTTTTCATTTTAAATCAAGATTAGTGTAAATTCAACAAACACACAAGCAAAAATCCCCACCCCTCCACCTCAAATTAAGATTTTAGGGCAATTTGGCCTTTTTGCCTCTCCTCAAATTTTACTTTGCAATTTGTTGCCCAAGCTCCTCCCATATTGGGTTTCGGGGATAGCTTGCCCTCCCTCAAAAAAGATGTTGATTCCACCTTTGCTTAAGCATATACTTATATGCATGTATATTAAACTATTACATCTTTAGAGAAATAGTAGAGAAATAGTGCTAAGATCATTTTTCTTGCACATCTTATATCATTCATTAATTTAAATGGCTAAAACTTAAATTAGCTAAAAGCCACTAGGAATGATCGTATATTTTAAAATTTAGTCATTCAAATATATTTGATTTAAGGTACAAGAAACGCAAAAGAAATTATTATGTTGCTGTTCTTTATCACAGTTTTGAATGTTTGGGACTAAAAGCCAATGATAATAAAAATTGTAACCATTCAAATTTTCGGCAAGATGAAAGTTGTAGAAGGAAAGTGACAATTATGACTTGGAGGTAAGAAGGTGGCAAGCCACCATGGGACATGGGCAGGTTATAGTTGAACTCAAAATCGTAGATAGTGAAATTTAAAATCAAATCAAGTTTAGAAATTAATATCCATACTATCTTAGGCCCCCTAGTCATATGTGATATGAATTTCCCATTGATGACTTTTTAGATTAAGCTACGATATTCCATCAATACATTTGGTTGAAGTTTTCTCACATTCCCAACTCCTTAATCAGTGTCATCTTGCTTTGTCAGGTCTTCTTCAGAGCCAAACGTGCCATATCCAAGCATCGCCATGGTTCAAGCTGATAAAGCTCCCAGGTCCACTCTTCGTTGAAGTCAATTACAATTGAGCCTGAGCCAGCAATCTCTACATTTAAAAATTGTCAAAGCTAATTTCTCCATGTTTTTTCGAAGCTAATTGTGCCCTACCCAGCGATATTCAAAACTGAAGGGTTTTGAAGTTGTGTGGCATTCTGTTTGTTTCATATAAAATATAGACGAACTTAAGTAGGTTCTATATAATTCAATTTATAATTTTATGTATTCTTGTCTTAGTATTTTACTTCAATTTTCATTCAACATAAAAATCCAATAACAATGATTGAATAAAGCCTCAGATGATCTAAATGATTGAAAAGTTTTATGGATATTTGTTACTAAATTACATAAATAGTGAGTGATTGTTGGCTCGAGGATATGTAAATTTTTGTCAAAGTTCATCGACAACTTAGGGCTAACATTTGATCAAATCCAATATAACATCCACAATTTAGAAAGTATTAAATATAGCTGCTGAAGCTTAGGAAAGAAATAATAATAATAGTAGTGTCACATTGTTCTAGATAAAATGACCGCAACACTAACTAATGCTGTACTTTACAAATAAGTTGAATTCTATGACCCCTAAAAATAGAGGCATTGGGCTCTAATCCTAATGAAAGATAACTTAATTTATAAGTTGAAGGTTATTTGCTTAAAGAAATTGCTCGTATTTTTTTCTCAATAAATCTTCCATTTCATTAAGCAGGAAATTCCTTTTATTTAATATTCTCTCATATGCAGCCACAATCACACTTGATATATTCCTCAAAATCATATATTTTTTAGAATAAATTTATATCAAAAGAAAATATCAAACATTGAAAAAATGGTTGATTCTATAAGAGATTTGGAATAAGGAGTTGCTATTGTATGTGATGGTTGGATTGAAACACAAAAGATCTCATATTATTTTAGAGGCCAATAAAAAATAATAATATATTATTTCATAGGCATTAGAGAACCTATGCCAATATTTATAAAATCTCTTAATAATGATAAATTTATATTGTTATTCAAATCAAAGAAATTATGGTATGTTTAGATTTTACATTTAAGAATATATATGCATCAATGATTATAAAGGGTAATGAGATCACCCATGAAGAATGCAATAATATTAATATTACCATAGGAGACGCCAACTTTATAAAGACATTCATGAATCACTTCTTAAGATTGTTAAATTTCAATGAATTTATAAAGTTGAGACTCATTTTACATCAACAATCATTATGATTAAATGATTCAAAATCAGAACTTTAGGATTATTGATTTTGGTAATTAATGATTATTGGAGCAAGATGATTTTGATAAGCTAAGTTTTGTGAGGGAAACAAATTGGATGATTTATGGTGGGTTAACATAATGATTTTTCTTATGTTTATAAAACAATATATGACTTGTTAGGCATAACTAATAAATAATCATTATCTCCGTGTTAGTTTGTGATATGTGTAATTCTATGATAGAGAAGGTGAAAGAAATGATAACAAGAACACCATTCTTTATATGACTGTATATGACATGATTATGCATATATGAAATAATAGTAACATTATCTTTTTTTGCATAGCTCACTCTCTAAATTGTATATAATAATTAATCTCTTAACTTACTCAATTTCATAATTAGTAACATCACCTTTCATATGTATATATAATATTTCTAAATATCAAAGGAGAATCAATGATTAATTTTGGAAGTTGCGAGGTGTATTGAGTTTAATAATAACTTCGTTCCTCGTGACTTAATCATGTATTGAGGCATTATAGTTGGAAACATTTGGTGGTTGATTTATGAAACTATTTCACAATGTTGATAAAGTTTTTTTTTAAGAAATTATTGACTCAAGTACATTTCTCTATTTTTATTTTATTTTATTTTATTTTTTTTTATTTTTTTTTTGCAAAAGAGTTCAATTATTAGCTCTTTTATCAATTTACCTATGGTGAAAAGATCAATTCTATATGGGATGAAGGTATAGTATTTATGTGAACCTATATTTATCTTTTATCTTGGTAGGGACACAAAATATACTAAAATCGGGACTAAATTATCAAGCATTGTTAGAGATATATTGAATATAATGGATTTCTTGAAATTTATATCTAAACAAAAGACCAAATATTGATAAATTTAATGTGCACCAATTTTACTTATTATTGAATTTCTGACTTTAATTATTTCATATTTTAAGTTTAACAACGGGAATGGTAAATTTGTAATATCAATGAAAGTTAGAAGCATGCCTAAATTTGGTTTTAAACACTTGGATTTCTTTGAATAATTATTTATGATCAGTTTTGATAAGTTTTAAATTTGTGAGATTTCATTAATGGCATATTTTTAATTTTAGGAAACAATAAGTGGGCTCTTTAGCAGTTTTAGATTAATCAAAATTTGTTTTTATTTTAATATTTTATTTCATCATGTGGGGTTGAATTTTATAGGTTTTAATTCTTAAGTATTCAAATTAAAGATTTAAGGATGAAGATGAGCATATTTGTAATGTTAAGAAATTTACAAATATGACCTTCCTCACATATTCAATCATGGAATTAACTAAGTTTCGTTTTTTTTTTCATGTCTTACAAATGATTTTCAGTTATATTGTGAAGGTATTGAAGTTTCTAAATGTTCAAATTGATACAACAACAACAACAACAACAAAGCCTTAATCCCACTACGTGGGGTCGGCTACATGAATCCTTTTTCTCCATTGCGTCCTATTTAGTGTCATATTTTCATTTAGTTCTAGTAAATTAAGATCATTTTTAATACAATAAGCCCAAGTCTTCCTAGGTCTACCTCTGCCTTTCTTAACACAAGTCGAAATTAAAACATCTACTCTCCTAATCGGATCATCTAATGGTCGACGTTTAATATGACCAAACCATCTAAGACGACTTTCTCTAATTTTGTCTGTCACAGGAGCTACACCAACCCTATCACGAATATATTCATTCCGCATTTTGTCTCTAAGTGTAAAGCCACTCATCCACCTAATCATTCTCATCTCGGCAACACTTAACTTATTATTATGCTTCGCTTTTAAAGGCCAACCTTCAGCGCCATAGAGCATTGCAGGTCTCACCACCATCTTATAAAATTTTCCTTTCAGTCTTAGCGGTACTTTTCTATCACACAAAAGGCCCGAAGCATTCCTCCACTTCAACCAACCAACTTGAATTCTACTATTAACATCCCCATCTATATCACCATCGCTCTGAACAACGGACCCAAGGTATCTAAATCGTTCACACCTTTTAATAATTTGATCACCCAAAGTCACACTTCTGTATTATGAGAAATTTTTGTGATGCGTCTTAACCTATGTTCAATTACCCTCTCCCATAATTTTAAAGTATGACACATCAACTTAATTCCTCTATAATTTGCACACTCTTGTGCATCCCCTTTATTCTTAAAAATGGGGACCAAAATACTCTTCCTCCACTCCTCAGACATCTTTTTAGTTTTTAAAATAATATTAAAGAGTTTAGTAAGCCAAGGAACTCCCATATCTCCCAAATATTTCCACACTTCAATTGGGATATCACCAGGTCCTACAGACTTTCCATCCTTGGTTTTCTTTAAAGCCTCCTCAACTTCTTTTTTATTAATTCGATGGTAAAAATGAAACGTTTTATTATTATTCACGATATTAAGATCACTAAGGTCGATCGTATTTTCAGAAACTTCATTAAAAAGTTTATCAAAGTAACTCACCCACCTTGTTGAATATCTTTTTCTAAGAAAAGTACTTTTTGATTTTCATCTTTAATACACTTTACTTGAGTTAAATCTTTATTTTCTTTTCTTTTTCTTTGGCTAGTTTATACATATATGTTTCACCCTCCTTTGTATCTAATCTATTATAAAGATCATTAAAAGCAGAATTTTTAGCGTCACAGATTGTTCTTTTAGACTCCCTGCAGGCCGTTTAATATTTTTTCCCAATTCTCTAAGCTTTTACATTTAAATCAATTTTTATAACATAACTTCTTAAATTTTATTTAAATAGAAAAATATTAATAGAAAAAAATAGTCTTATCCTATCATACCAAATATCTTTAACTTTAGAATTGATCTTCATTATTAACAACTCTTTACCTAAATTTACCATGATATTCATAAACATAAGTATAGTCATTTAAAGTTAAATCTTAATATCCCAGGCCAGGTTAAATTAATTTTAAAAAAATATAGTTATTTAAGGACAAATAAAATTTAGTTTACCGCTTTTCAAAAGAAAACTTTTTTCCCCCAAACTTTTTTTAAGTGATTTTAAAAATATTTTTAGTATAAAATTTAGTAGGTGAAAGAAAAAAAGTAAATGCATGAAAATAAAAACACACCTGTAGAGGATTTCCGATTATAAAACTGGGTCTGGTATATTGCAGGTACTAATTGTAAAACTATATACAGGCTTCAAAGCATTAAATAAAATATAATACATTTTAGAGAACTTGCTGAGAATTAAAAACATAAATACAAAAATTGAAAAAAAAACTAAACTAAAAATAAAAAAAATGCAAAAAAAGTGAAAGTACAGATTCAATTCAAAACACAACATAAAAGTTTTTGCTGCAATAGTTTTCAAATGAAAGTACATCACAATACAAACAACAACAATAATCAAACATAAAAAAAACTAAACTAGACTCATAAAATATCAATCCTTATCTCCTTCCTCTTCATCATCTGATTCTTCTTCTTCTTCTTCATCATCATCATCATCATGAATAGGAGTATATGGAGTGAAATTGGGGCAAGCAGGAAAGTCCACATTAGGTTCACCCCTAAGATGTCTTACCATGACATTCTCAAACTCAATATCATGTTGAACTCTCCTCAGCTGATATTCATCATTATATGCATTTATTGATCCTATCTCTCCCAACTGAGTTTGAATATTAACTATATCCATGTTTTTAATCATGAGTTGATCCATAATACCTTCAAGCGATGTAGATCGAGAAGTAGATGCCCCTGTCGCAGATGTAGAGGGCCTATCCCTTCTTCCACTTCTAGACTCAACAACTCAACAAAAGACTCAACAAATGACTCTACTCTTTGAATCATATGCCTCCCAATCAAATTCTGT